CTGTCTGATCATGTATTTGCCTCATTTTTCTATTTGAATCTGATAATGTTTTTCTTAACTTCTGATCTTTTAAAACAAATCATTGGTATAATCCTTTGCAAGACATAGGGATATGGTTTGGCCAGTCTTTGAGTTTCCTGGCACAGCACGAAACATATGACCAACACTTGAAAATGGTCACTGAATTGTGTTCTGTGAAATATTTTTAAATAGTTTTTAAATCTAAAGGAAACACATACTCATTATTTTTAAAAGTGGATTATGTAGAAAGCACCGCTCAAAGGCAGTCAGGATAGTGTTACCAGGTACTTTTTAGTTATTTAAATAGAATACTGTCCCTTCCAGTAATGTTTTCATATACATATTCTCCAGTGCTTTTTGTTTGCTTTTAATTTGGCTCTAGAATAAATAATGTTACCAGGTAAAAAAAAGAATTTTGCTAGAACTTTTTCATAGGCTCTTTCTTACACTTAGATTTGCTTCTGACCAGCTAAACTATGGATGAAAACTTAAGCTAACAAACTCTCAAGTCTAGTGAATCCACCTGACATAGGTTTTAACCTTCAGATATCCTATAAAAGGTCACACTACTTGCAATTTCAGTTTCTCCAATATTAAAAATAGCAACTGGGGCAAAAACAAATGAATGCCAGTAAGGCACAAGTTGCCACAGGATGAACTGCCCTGCCTTATTTCACATCCCCAAACCACTCTCCCATTCTAAACTGGATTATTTCAATTATAAATTTCAGATATAAATCACAAAAAAATCTAAGAAGCATCTGACAGTTTGCACTCCTATTCCTATGCAAATTCCAATTCCTATTCTCTCTCAACACAAAAGCAAAAACAACCTGGTGTTCTTTTTTTTGGCAGTATTGGGGTTTGAACTCAGGGCCTCGCCCTTGGTAGGGAAGGGCTCTACCAACTGAGCCACAGTCCTTTTTACTGTAGTTATTTTTCAAATAGGGTCACAACATTTTTGCCCAGGCAGATCTGAACCAATCCTCCTATCTATGCCTCCCAATCAGGTTGGGTGAGAGGCACATGGCACTGCATCCAGTTTTTTCAGTTGAGATGGGTCTAACTTTTTGCCCAGGCTAGCTGTGAACTGAAGTCCTCCTGATCTCCACCTCCCAATAGCTAGGATTACAGGCTTGAGCTACCAGGATGGGCTCCTCACAGGATTGGGAGAGGGAGGAGAGGAAGGAAAGGAAGGGAAGAAGAGCAGGTGAGCATGAGTGACCGAAGATTTTTTAAATTGTGTATATATGAACTCAGAAAGCTTTGTGGCATATACTATAAATCTAAAAAATGCTTAACAGACCAATTAGAAAAGAAAGCACAATAAAATGTTTCATTAGTGAAGCTGATAATCTATCATGACTGTATATGTATTTTACTGCATTTACTTGGCTTTTATCAGTGGACTAGTTATTATGGAGATGAACACCTTTCTCAGTTTGTTCTCTATCTTGAGTATCAAGGGCAGAGTTTATTTTATTATTAGCTGTATTTAGCCTACCACTTAGTAAATCACAGTATATTTTGTAACAACAAACTGTGGATACAAACTACTTGGCTATCTAGGTCAAGCCCTAGAGCAGAGAATGAACCCAGGAAAAAAGATCATCAGATACCCAAATGACTCACTGCTGGGTGTTGTCCAGAAACCAAGCTGTTCAATTTCAAGGACTAGTGACTGGTTTTACCTTTCAGGGAGAAACTGGTTGTCCTAGTGACTAAATGCACTAATGCAAAATTTCTCTAAAGCTTTAAGAGAAATCTAAATTTATGATATGATACAGGGAGTTAGCGTGGACAACACTTCATTAATACTGCCTGTTTAAAATTAGGATTAAGAAAAGAAAAAAAGACAGGAGTGGTTTGAATATACTGTCCTTTGCTCTTTGATAAGAAAAAAAAGCCAGGCAGCAGTGGTTCACATCTGTAAGTCTACCAACTAGGGAGGCAGAGATCAGGATTGTGGTTTAAAACCAGCCTGAACAAGTAGTTTGAGACTATCTCAAAAATACCCAACAGAAAAAAGGGCTCACAGAGTGGCTCAAGTGGTAGAGTACCTGCCTAGCAAGCATGAGACCCTGAGTTCAAACGCTAGCACTGTCAAAAAAAAAAAAAAAAAAAAAAAAGTAAAGGCTCTTTAAGATGCCATTTTCCTTGTGAAGGAAAGTTGTAAAGAGGACAGTACGGTGGGACACCAGGGCTACACTTACTTGTTCATATACGGACACTGGCTATTGAGAAAGAAGTTCTAGCCTTTTAGAATACAATAGGTCGCAGCAGAACACAATGTGGGAATAATGTGTTTGAATCTGCTTCAGTTTTACAGCCAATTAAAATGTTTCACGTTCAGCCGATTTACTAATTGTTTTCCAATAGAAGAAACAGAAAGCAAGTTAAAAATATGCTAAAGAATCTTTTAACCAACATGTAAATGTCTATGTTATAGCTTCAGAACTATCAAAGTGCTGTTTTAAGTGTAGCAAAAATTCCAAACTAAAAAAAATTTCCATTTTTTTCCTGAACAAATTTTGATATATTTTTGTCCTGACACAAATTTTTGACATGGTACATATTAAAAATGGTTCACTCCTTAGCACTTGTGTGTATTTTTGTTTAACTTGTGGACAAAGATTTATAGACAGGGGAAAAAACTAAATCCTCTTTTGCAACCCAGAACTCATGAAACATATATGCCTCTCAATAAATGTGAATGTATATAAACATTTGCTTTCAGATGTGTATTTTACTGCATACATATAAGAAGGTATATGATTTTAAAAAAAGGTCCACTCTTGATGGGTATTAAACATTTTATTTAAAGATTTTTAACGTATAAAAAAGTACACAAATACAGATTACACTGTAGTGATGAAGGCAGTATCTACATGACAAAAAATCAAAACAAAAAAATTTACAAAATAAATGTACCAGCACTGAACAAGCATAATACGTAATATTCAATCCTGGCTGCACATGCATAAAATGATCTGACCACATGCTTATGCAAAATAAATTATTTCTTAGAGACAAAATACCAATCATTCCGATGGTCCACCAACTTATCCCCCTGCTAAGTATTTTGAGAGAACTTTTATATAGTAAAAAAGAACTGGCATGGCACTTAAAAGACTGCAAAAAAAAAAAAAAAAAAGAACACAAAAACATATTTGTAATCCAATTTTGTATAAAATATACACAATAAATCTTATGTTTAAAAAAAGATTAAAAACAAGACTACCATTAATAATGGCTAAACCCCCATTACAGAAAATGCTCGTCACTTGTAGGTTACTGGTAGAAAAGTAATAGGTTTTGGTGGGGGTGGGGACAGGGAAGAGATCTAACTCATTCATTTAAAATTTGTTAAAAACGTGTGTAAGATTATAATTTATTGCTTAAATCTTAAAATGTTTTTATCACAAACAGTCTAATATTTAACCACAGGACAAAAGAAAAGAATCACCTGAAGAAAATGTTTTTCAAAATGTGGTCCAAAAGCTCAACAGAATTATAAGGTGGACCCAGTAATGTGCATTTTAAATAAACTTCCTAGGTAATTAGTCCACATTCTAAAATGTCCAACAGGAAACAGCACCACTTAAAAGCAAGATCATGAACATATTTCTCACACAAGATGTCAGAATTTTCTATAAGTTTATGACGTAAAGTAAATACTGCTTTTTGTTTAAAACAAGTTTCAGGTATTAAAAGAAACATATATGCCTCTCAATAAATGTGAATGTATATAAACATTTGCTTTCAGATGTGTGTTTTACTGCATTTATTTGGCTTTTATGTCTGGAGTTTTTCATTGCTTTCAGACTTAGTTATTTGAAGAAATGAGAATACACAATCACAAACTTTGGAAATTACATTTCTAATGAAATGTAGCATCAAAAAAAAAAAAGGAACTTACTAAATGCCTATGTAGATATTTTAAATCATTGTAAGTTTAAAACTAGATGGCTTCCCTAAAATTAAATTTTACTTAGATTGGACAACTGTAATTTATTTAGATAATCATTTTAAGTCCTTTGCATAAAAATAAACAGAATGATGCTATATTTGGTACCTTTTTAAGTAATAAAAATCACTAAACACTAGTATTAAAAATAACCTGAAGAACTCTTCAGGTAATCTTTCCCTGAAATATATTTTACTATGTGTTATATTTGTTACCATTAAATAAAAACTCAGTAAAGGAGCAGGAACTGTGAGGTTGTGAGGTGTGTGAGTACATGTGTTCTAAACATTTACTCATGTTTACTTTATTATTATTATTATTATTATTTCATTGAAGACTCTATAACTAGGGCTCAAAAGTATAGCTAATGTGGTTTTGGGGAGGAAACCAGAATAGTTAAGATATTATACTTAGAAGGTAACTTTTTTCCTATATACTAAATAATAAGGAAAACTATTATACATTCTGCCTCCACTGAGTAATAAGTTGGTAACAAGGGAGTGCCCCCTAATTTCAATCAAATCACAAAAAGCAACTGTAGGATTCACTCTCCAATAAGAAATAAATATTACCATTGCACTTTTATGTATTTTTTTCAGATTTCTGGGGTTTTTTTCCTTTCTACACGCTGAGCAATTCTTCACCCAACTGCATCCTGGGTCTTCTGAAGTACGTACATTAACACGTCAGCTAAACTTTTCACTAAAAAGATAAACTCAGAATCTACCTCCCTATTTAAAAAAAAAAGCAAATGACTCATGCCAGCTTTTAAAAATAGCTAATGTTTTGGAATCTGATTCTTAATAAAAACATGTCTATTTTTTAACTTGCGAAGAATTTGGGACTGGAGGCATGGCTCAAGTGACAGTGTACCTATCTAGAAAAACACAAGCCCTGAGCTCAATACCAAGTACCAAAAAGAAGAAGAAGAATCTGTATCCCCCAATTCTAAGCAAGCAGTACCTTTTGTTACAAATTTAATAACTGTTGCTTTATAAATCAATAATGCAATTATCTAAGGCAATGGAAAATTTATAGGATTTTTAAACATAGGAACTCCAAAACCAACATGTAATATAAAAAATGTATACAACAGCTTGAATTAACCTTTTTATTCCAAAATTAAACCCTCACATGACTTAACACAAAGTAAGAAAAATTATGGGAGGATTATGATGCCATCCCACTATGTGCCCTAACGCAACAGAGATTTTCTTTTAAAAGCAGTGGTACTTCCTTTAAACAAAAAAGATAACTTCATTACTCAGCAATCAGTATAACTAAATTTTGACATGATTGTCTGGAAGCTAGTTTTAATTTCTTTTTTCACAGTTACACTTACATGTAATAATTGATTCCTATAGCTTATAATAGAGGATATTCAGTGTTTGGGTTTTTTGTAGTGGCACATATAAGAGTTAACTGTATCTAGGACGATAAGTTCACCCATGCATTAAATGGCAACATAAGCAGAATGCATAGTTGAAAAATGACGATCAGACACATTCTTCTGCAGACATCAAAAGAGGATTGATATATTCAAAACCTTCAAATTCAGACTGATCAATCTTCCTCACAATGTCACTGTTGAAAGAAAAATAAATTAATTTTCACCATAATCAAGATCCCTTTGACCTTTAATTGAAATGGTAAAACAAGATAAATAACAACAAAAAAATAGGGCTATTGTTATAAATTGTGGAGAAAAAAAATACAAGATCTTAGCTTAATCCCAAAACATATTCTAGAAGAATCAAGAAGAATATTGAGGGGGGAAAAAAAAAAAAAGGCAATCTTAGAGCCAAAAGGCTGTAATGGACTGGGAATTTAAAAGACACAAATTACGATGATGCCAGCAACTTTAATTTTTGATCTGAACAACATTCTTAATTAAGGTGAGCATCTAAATTAGCATTCAATTTAGTAGTCACCTCAACAGCCAAATGGAAGATGGTGAAGAGAAGGCCAGAAGAAGTTAGCCAAAAGGAAAAGGCAATACGAACAAGTACACTGAGAGACCTGGAATAAGGAGAGAACACCACAGGGAGACAATGGGTCACAGAGAGGGAAGACAATGGCATTGTTACACCAGGCTTCTAGTTTAATATACAGTAAGAGTAGTACTATTAAACATTTTAACAATAAATGTACATGCTGCACTGCAGAGCACAGTTACAGAGGGTACACCCTTTCCTTGAAGGAGGCAGGAGTAACATACACTGGAAAGCCATAAGAGAAAGCAAGTATCTGCTAAATTTCATACACAATAAGCTAAGTCCTGTTCTAACCACAGTGGTAAAGATGGGTGTTTTCCACTTGGAGAAATCAAGGCAGGCAGCATTCATTCTAAAAACACTTAATGAAATTATGAAAGACTGGGGTAGGTATGGAGAAAGGCAGGTAATTTCTCAGAGTTAGAACACAGGAATAGAAGGGTGTTAAGTGGTAGATGATGCTGGGAGGATGACTAGATCAAAGAAGCCAGTAATATACATTCTGAGGAATTTCACCTCAATCCATCAAAGATCTAGTTACATTTGAGGTGGCTCTGAAAGATGGGAAAGAAGATTTCAGTAGGGAAAAATGGAGGAATAGAGAGGCATGAGCAAGAAGAGGCAGATAGTGACACTGAAAGGAACGGTTAGTAATTGAGACTGATCAGAACACCATTTGTGTTATAGCAAGAGATATGGCTGGGAAGTCAGGCTGAAGGGGGTGGGCTTGAATGCTAGCCAAGAGAATACCAGTTATCTGACAGGCAATGCAGGAGTTAATGAAGGATTCTGATTAAAGGTGTTAAAGAATTGGAGTGACTTTTTGTGAGGTATACAGAATAGGCTGCATAGTAAAGTGTTGGAGTCAATTAGGAGGCTGTTAACACTCTTGGCATGATTTGAACAAGACCAGAACTACAGTTATAGCAATGAAATGAAAAGAAAAAGGCTCAAGTACAAATGATGAATAAAGGAAACATACACAAAGACTTGGCAACTGTAGGTATTAGATAATCTATTAAGGAAAAAAGAGGAGTCAATTACTGACATTTTGAATCTAAATGAAAGGACTACTTGGTGGTATAATGAATACACACAGGAAATAACACAGAACTGAGTGGTATCAATAGAAAAAGAGACCATAAAGGGCTATTACGTTGATTTTAGATGATCATATACTGAAGTATTTATCTGATGCACTAAAGAAGATATTAAACATATGGAAATGCTGTTCAGGAGAGTGATCACAGCAGAGTTAGATGCTTCTGAAACCACCATTTATTCGTCACAGGAATCTTGTAAGGCAGACAGTATGAAAAGAAATAGGCTCAGAGAAGTTAACAATTCATATCCAAGGTTACCCAGTTGGTAAGAGGTGGCATCGGGATTCAAACTCCTATCTTTTGATTAAATCCAGTGTTCTTTCAAATACACAATGCTGTCAGGAATAACAATTTGGTACAGATCTTTCTTCTAGTAGACAGTAAGCTTTCTATGAGATTGGACTATCCTGATGTCTTTGTCTAGTACTTAGCATAGTGCCTTTTGCTCAATAACAACTTGCCAATTTAGCTAGAAGTCATTTTTAAATAGCTAGTATCCACACTACAGGGCTGGTTAATCTCCAAGGTACAAATTGCATACAGCAAAGAGAAGGTTGCCATGAACAGAACCACCGGGCATCCTGGTCTCAAGAGGAAAGGGGAAAAAAAGATGACAGGTAATGGAGACGAAGGAAAATTAGGATGGGCAATGCTACCTAAGGGAAGGGCATGAATGCCAAATGCTTTATAGCCATCAGGGGAAACAAGGAATGACACACAAAAAAAAAATTGCCTTATAACTTAGAAATTAAGTCAACTTGACTTTCAAAAGTTGTAGGAGCAGGTTAAAATTTAAAGGGGTTAAAAATGTTCGCAAGACAATCAATGTTGGCCTATTTTAATGGAATTTGACAGAAAAACTATTGACTCATTCTTCTTTTACCAAGAGTATCCACTAACTATTTTTTAAAATGTCAAAAGATTAAAAGAAAATGAGGGAAAAAATGTGTTAGTGCAAAGAGGGGGTAAAGATTCAGGGGAAAAATATCAAAAAGACAAAAAAAAAAAACCCCAGCATTTTTATAGGGAAAGAAGCTAGAAAAAAATAAATCAAGGAAGGTAGAGCAATGAACTAAATGACAAAATGAAATCCCAGAGGAAACAAAGAAAACAGGTCTAGAAAACTGGGAGGGGCACCTCCTGCAAAGAGAGAGAGCCTCCAGAGTAGGGAACAAGAAAAAGGTTGCCAAGAGTTATAGAGCAATTCTTGGTGGCCTGGTGACTGCTGGAAAAGGAGCAAGCTCACACCAGAGAGGTCTCAATCCTTGCAGTCAAGTTAAGGCAAGGTTAATCCATTAAGAGCAATGGCAACAGGGGTAGGACTGAAGGCTTCTAAAAATTAGAGACCATTTGGAACAGCTGTTTGTGCTAAGAATTGAGATATAAATTAAGTGACTGCCAAACAGTAAGGGCCTCCTTAAAATTAGAGAGAATGGATCTACACTGATAGATAAATGGTAAAATATTCCCAAATTATGCTAAACTACACTTTTAAAGGATGCGACATAAACACAAAAATATTTCAGGTCACTGCTGGCTGGACTGGATGTGATGTCATTTTTAAAGGTAAAACTTAGAAACTCAAAGATGTTCATCATTGAAAGGGGAACAGTGCAGCACAGTAGAAAGAGAATAGGCCTTAGTCAGTAGGATCTGGGTTTGAATCCTGACTGTCACCTGACAGCTGTGTAACTTTGCTTAAACCTCTCTGAGCCTCGGTTTCCTCATCTGTAAAATGAAGATGACAATACCTAGTTTACAAGGTTATTGTAAGAATTAGGACAATGCATGGAAAGCAAAGCAGAAAAGAACAGCAATTACAGCTATAATTTTTAACAGTATAATGGAGTCGAATATCCAGTATTAGAATGCTTATATAATTTAATACAGTCTGAAAATGAAACACTAAATAGCCACTAAAAATGGGGGGAGGGGTTCAAAGAACTTTAAAACTATTGCAATGTGTAGAATTACTTACTCATCATCTGGAGTGAGTTGGACAGGTTCATTAGTAAACTGAGAATCAAAGTTGTCCAAGCCAAATTCTCCAGAAATATTTGGTTTAAAGGGAGGTACCACCTGCTTTTGCTCCATCTAAAAAGACATATTGGATGACAGCTCAAGCCTGCATTCTTAGAAAAATTCCACCTCTACATTTCTCCTCTGCTTTCAGATGTTTTCCTAGGCTATAAGATTTTAAGAATGACAGATGTCATTTATAAATACAATGATTATCGGTATAAGCCTCAACAATATTATGACCTACTCTACTACATTAATACTCTAATTGTTTTGTTTTCAGAGTTTTTTTTTTTAAAGTACTTTAGATAGCAGTTTTAAATTATTTAAGCTATGATGTACTACTTTTTCAACATTCTTTCAAAGACAATAAAATTTGGCTCAAGGTAATAATGGAACCTAATACAGAAAACAATAAAAATTTACATACCATATCCCAATCGACGTTTCGGAAGAATGGATGTCCCTGAATATCAGCAAATCCTGTTTGAGGATGACAACCCAATCGTTCCTTTGGGTCCTGTGGTAGAAATAAAAGTTTCAAGAACTTGATGAATGCCATGTTTTAAAATAGCTCACCTTTGTGACCTCTGTTTTTGTGCCTATTACATGATGGCTTTATTTCCGAAGCTAAGATGGTCCGTCGAACACTATACCCAAGTGCGTTAACTGAAGCTTGTGACAGATACGATTTCCTCATGGCTCTTTTTCCACTTACGCTACTAAAACAGAGACTCATTGCCACTTCCTGCTAAAGAGAAATGGGAGGAGAAAGAGAAGAGCAGCATCATTTGAGCAGCACCCAATCATTTCTCTGGCACTGCCAGTGTTGGTTAAAATGTGGAAACCTTAAAACTTTACCATAAGTTTACCAATTTTAAAGCACTATGCTCAATTACAGCAAAAAAGCATCATTTGTCTATGATAATGACACAACTGTTATCTGAGTCACTGGACTGAGAAGGAGCTTGTAACTTATAAGGTTTTGGCTTATTACTGTGAATTAGGACATGTTCCCATTTTCTTTCTGATAAAAGGCATCATTTCATTTCATGTTTAACACCTCTTACCTTCATGTGTCACTATGTGGAAGATGAGGTTTCAAGTTTAACTCTTTCCTCACATAAAGTAGTCATCTAAAATAAGCTTCAATTTCTGATTTCATTAAGACTCATCATTATCAACTTACATTAGAAAATAAATGTGTACCAACCTACTTTCTATACTGCATTCATTTAAAGTAGAATTTATGACTCCCCAAATCAGTCTTAAATCCTAAAACTCTTCTAGCTTACTAACTGCAACAAGCAACAATGATGTTCAGATTTTTAAGATATTTCATTTTTTCTGAATTTTATCTAATTACAGGGTTTTTGCAATAATAGTATGTAGAGAACACTACTGTCCAAGTGCTCAAAAAATACATTGTAAAGAACAGGTTCTATGGATAATGATGCAGAGAAAATAGAAAAACAGAGCTGAAAGTACAACTGTAGCTAACCCCCAACACTATATATGTATATACACACATTTTTTTTTTTTTACATTAAAAGCAGTAATGCAGTACATAGCTGGGAGTAAATTATATTGGCAAAATGGAAAGGATAATTCACCTCAGGAGCTAATGCTGTCCATTGTTCTTTATTTAAGAGACATTCCAGACCTAACTGAAAATGTTAGATGTTTTGGAATTTTATGTTGCCTGAGCCTCTACTTACCAGCTTGACTTATATAAGTAGACACAAACAACAAAAGAGTTTTATACACAATTTATACCTTATTTAGAAAACTCTTCAGGACACTTGCAGCTTTTACAGACAGAGAACGTGGTATGCGAATTTGTTTTTCCAAAATAACTAAAAAGATAAAAAAATTATGGCATTATGTTTAATTTTAACATGGCTTTAATCTTTACATTTTTATTATGAAATATTTTAAGGCAGTCCAGTAGAAAAAATACTACATACACGACTAAGTGCCTCGTGTATTTTCCCAATCCTATCTTTCTCTCCTCCTTAGAGATAGCCTCTTATCTGAACACTGTATTTATTATTTACATGCATACTTTATTCTTTGACTACATTATTTCCTCACCTGTGAAACAGGAATAACATAAAATTTCTATTTTACATGAAATAGAGGCTTAAAAGAATTAACATTTACAAAATGCTTCCACATATAATACACAATTTTATTTTATTGAGTAATGAAATTATTCTCTGAAACTATTGCATCAATTTTCCCTCTCTCTCTTTTTTTTTTTTTTTTTTGTTGTTACTAGGTTTGAACTCAGGGCCTCATGCTTGCTAGGTAAGCACTCTGCCACTTGAGTCATGAATCCAACCTTTTTCTCGCTTTATCTGTTTTTTGGACAGAGTCTTGTGGTTTTGCCTGAGTCAGGCTGGACTTCAATCTCCCTATTTATGCCTCCCAGCATACAGCTAGGATGACAGGCACACACCACTACACCTGGCTTATTAGTAGAGATGGAGTCTTAACTTTCTGCCCACTGGCCTCAAATTATAATCTTCCTGATCTTGGCCTCTTGAATAGCTGGGATTATACGCATGAGCCACTGCACTCAGCTACTGTATCAATTTTCATTCTCATTAGAAGTCTATGAGAGTTTCAGCTGCTTTATACTTTTACCACCACTGGTTATTATTAAACTAAAACTTTTGCCAGAAGTATGGATATGAAGAGGTAGTTCAATAGCATTTGAACATATATTCTCCTAATCACTGGTGAGGAAGAATGTCTTTCACAGACTCAGTAGCATTTCCTATTATATGAAATGCCTAGCCATACTGAGATGCCTTTAATTATTAAATACAGAATTTTATGGCAGTCGTCACGCTTCTTTGGATTATGTGGTAGAGGTCCCTGGCCTTGTCTGCTTGTTTCTGTTCTGTTCCATTCTAAGTATTCCCCATTATGCACCCCCACCACTTCTGATCCATCCTTCCTCACACTGTTTTTTTTACTTTTGGCAGCACTGGAGTTTGAACTCAGGACCTCAGGCTTGCTAAGCAGGCACTCATTGACTGAGCCATTCTGCCAATCCTTTTGTGTTTTGGGTATTTTCGAGATAGGGTCTTGAGAACTACTTGCCCGGGGCTGGCTTCAAACCCCAATCCTCCTGATCTTTGTCTCCTGAGTAGCTAGGATTACAGGCATGAGCCTCCACACCCAGACCCACACTATTCTTAAACTTAGGCACTCAGCCTCAGGGTTCATGTGTAAAGACTGTACTCTCTAGCTTACAATTCCCTCCTCCAATGCTGTTATGAGGCTTAAAAGAATGAGTATTTGTAAATGCTTGCATATATAACATACAATGTAAAGAAGCCTCTTCATTACGTTTTTCAGTATGAGAAGGAAACAGCAAATGGAACTGTTGACTACAGAAATAGGAAGAATGTATAGAAAAAGCCCTTATACAATAAGAGTATATTGCTCAAATTATTCTTTTTCTGTTCATAATTTTAGAACTGATTAATATTCACAATTTGCTGGGTGGAACTGGGGTTTGAATGCTTGTGTGCAAGCATTCTACCACTTAAGTCACATCCCCAGCTTATTCTCCTTTTTCATACTCAAAGTAATAATTTGAGTCACTCTAACTAATTTGTGTTCTAGAACAGATTACTCATAGAAAATCTCTAAAAATACTGCAAATTACCTTGGAAGAGATAATCTTCTGTGTTTTGATCAGGGTTATCAGAGCTCCCAACAATATCAAATGGAGACCTTCCTGCCATCATCTCAAACATTAGCACTCCAAGAGCCCACCAGTCAACACTGAAACCTTCAGGAAGAAATTTTAAAGGAATAAATCATCCACTTTACATACCTGGAAGTCAGTAACTGGAATTCATTTTATCACATAATGAGAAAATAAACAATAAAAAAGTAAACTCTAAATGGATCACAACTACTATTTATTGTAGGCACTGAGAATTACAGAAATATTTCACTTATCAACAAGCATAGGCACCTAAAAGATAATGCTAGAATACAAGATTATGGAAAATGAAATCTAACTTTTTCTCCAAATACAGCTGTAATTTCAGACTCATGTCAATACCTACTATTGTGCTTTGAGGTTATAATTAAATTATATCTGAGAATAAACTCCTTTGATCTGAAACTTGGTCCTTTTTTTACCTTATTAAAGACTACTGAATTCACCTTGACAGCAGTATTCAGAAGTACCACATTCTTCTTTATATCTGCTGAAATCAGAGGACCAGAACCCAAGGAGTCAAATGCTTTCTTAAGATAAAATAAATGTATTTCCTGGTGCCTGACAAGTAGCCAAGTTTCCCACCATCTTTTAGATTCCTGTAGGAAATATCCAGGAATTTTGAACAAACATCTAGAGCTCATGACTCTGGAGTTACACAGCTGATGGTTTGAATTCCTACTCTATTGCTTTTTAACTGTTATGACCTTGGCATATTATTTAAACTTTCTGTACATCACTTTCCTCATCTGTAAGATGGGAATCAACAGTGTTTACCTGGAAGGTTGGTGAGCGGGTTAACTTAGCTAATATAAACTACTGAGAATAGTGCTTACCACTCTTTAGTGTTTGTCTCTAAAAAAATGCAATTCAAGTATGTACCCTAAAGACCTCCAATGTCCTACTGTTTCTGATTTCAGAGTTTGGGGTCTTCATGTAGGTTTTAAAAGGACCAAAAATGTTTATATTAATAAGATCAATATTAAAATGCTATGGTGTACTGTAGTAAAATACTACCATGTACTTATGCAATTGGCACATTAAACCACCCCTCCAGCAATAGCTAAAATACCACATATTTATTACCATAATCTTCTCCTCTTAAAATTTCAGGAGCAATGTAATTAGGAGTCCCACAGAAAGTACTGGTTGTATCTCCAGGTCGTAAACCTTCCTTTTATAAAGATAAAAAAAAAAAAGAAAGAAAGAAAAAGTAAGGTATAAAATTGTTTTCAGTTCACCTCTTTTTATCTATGACATAAATTCATCATCTATAGGCGATTCATTGAGCTTAAACAATGTATCACTAGGATAACTGCCTTCATTATTAACATCATGTGTTGCTACCAAGTAGCACGAAGAAAACTTGTTCCCATTAGATGTTGCTAAAAAGTTCAATTAAGGTAAAACTGCATTTAAGATAATTTATGGCTGTTAAAATTTAATACAAAAATTTAAATTATTTGAATAAAATGAATCATATTTCACGAAAAAAAAGCACATTCAGTGAGGGGGGAATACTGAGGTTTGAACTCGGGGTCTTGAGCTTGCTAGGCAGGTGCTCTATTACTTGAGCCACACCTCCAGCCCCCTTGCCCCCCGTTTTTTTTTTTTTTAGACAGGGCCTCAAACTTGTGATTCTCCTGCCTCAGCCTCCTGAGTACTGGGATTATAGGTATGCACTCCCACACCCAGCTTATTGCCTTTAATCCAGTTCTAGCTCCCTCAAAGCTATTTGAGCTTCTTATGTGGTCTTCCAGAGACATTCTGGGTATGTTGAACATATTGTTCTTAAATTTTTCCTATTGTATATAACATTGTTATAAATATGTAGAAGAAACATTTAGCAATATGCTTTCATTCCAAGTATTAAGAAATGACTTCTAATAGGAATAGGTTATTTTAACATGAAAACAATTATGAAGAAGATTGACGTTGTTTTGTATTATTGACAATAGATTGTAATGATGATAAATAACATGCATTTTCAGGGCAACAGTCAGAGGCAAGATATAATGTATTAGCTTGCAGGAGCTAGCTAAATCACTCACTTATTGCCTGAATATCTGAATGTAGGATCATTAGTTAAAATTATCTACAGCATAACATAGACATTACTAAAATTCCCCTGGTGAAAAATATTCATAAAATGGCTAGTTCTTCACTCAATAAAATCAGTGTTCATAAAAACATTTCAAACATTAAATCTGAAGATATTAATTTAAGTTTTCACTCTATCCTTGGTACTCTAAAGCCTATAATGAGAAACTGAAGAAATTAAACTAATTGAAACTATTAAAAAAATTCCCAACTGTTTTAAAATTTTCCTAGGAATTGTTACAAGCAAAAGAAATTCATTCCATATTTGCATGAGGTTAGATTTTAAGTAAATTTAAATATTGACTCTAAATCACAAGATATGAGCATTCAAATTTTCACAGTGTTCATTTCCCATAAGCTTGAACACCACAAAGATAGAAATGTGTCAGAAAAAAGACAAAGTACTGTCAGTAAAGTCTTTGAATAGAAATCCCTCTCCTTGTGACTTTTCCTGCTAACAAAACTAAGCAACTCTTACAGAAGGGAGAGAGGCAGAAAAGTCAATTTAAAGATTACTGAACATAAAGATCTCTAAGATTTATCAAAGATTCTGGCTAACATGATTGAGGATCCTTGCAAAGAATGAGAATGAGCCAGGCACCGGGGGCTCACGCTTGCAATCCTAGCTACTTGGGAGGCTGAGAATGGAAGGATAGAGGTTCAAGGTTCAAAAAGGTAGCCTGAGATTCCATTCACCTGAGGGAAGTTATCACCAGACCCAGATTTCTAAATGCTTACGTCATACAGGGCAATCTAATGGTATTGAAAATTCACCCTTATCTGCAGCATACATTATAAAATCTTAATGTAAAAGCAAATTATGGATAAAATCTAAAGCCAGTTTTGAGGTTCAAAAAGGTTCAAGGGCAAAAAGGTACACTGTCATCCCCAAATTATAAGCAGCTGAGATCAGGAGGCTCATGGTCCAGGCCAGGCCGGGCAAACCAGAGCAAAAAGGGCTTGGAGGCACGGCTCAAGCAGAAGCCCTGAGTTCAAATCCTAGCACTGCCAAAAAAATTAAAAGAATGAAAATGTATAACAAATATTATTTTTCTTTCTTTTTGGGGGGGAGAAGGGCAGATGCTCTACTACTTGAGCTATTTCCCAGTCCCAATATTTTTCAATAAAAATACTGAATACAAAAGACAAAGGAAGTAAAGCAGTAAGAAAGGAGGGAGGCAGAAAGGGAGGAAGAAAAACATCCTGCCTTCATTTTGGTAATAATTTAATTTTCATTGTTAATGTAAGGCCATTATAATAACTTTAAAAATATAGAATAGCAAAAAGAATCAGTATGTGATTCTATATAATAGAGTAAAATAATTCAATACTTTAAGACTTAATGTTATATACATATTGTTATGAATATTTTGTAAATTTCCTCTTAATAACTAACTTCATAATACTTATCATAAACTACAGTAAAAATTTTGGTCATAACTCCTTGTAGACCAAGAGGTAGAATTACTGAATCACAGAATATGGCCATCTTTAAGATTCCTCATACATCCCTATCAAGCTGCTTTACAAAACGTTGTAATGTATTGTTTTGGGAGGGGTGGGGGATTGAACGTAGGGCCTTATGCATGCTAAACACACTTTCTACCACTGAGTTATGCCTCTAGACCCAAAGATTGTAATAAGTCATATACCCATCAGTGACTGATAATGCCATTTCCTTAACCTCTTGTAAATTCAGTTTCTAATTTTAAAACCAGTATCTAATAGGCCAAAAAAGGTCTCAATTTTTTTTGGGGGGGGGGTGGTGGTGAAGGGTTACTGGAGTAACTCAGAGCAAGTGCTCTAAGTTACATCCCTGGCCCTCTTTTTTGCTTTAGTTATTTTTCAGGGTCTCATGTTTTTGCCCGGGGCTGACTATGATCCTCCTATGGCCTCCTGTGTGGCTAGGATAAGTGTGCCCTGCCACATCTTGCTTATGGATTGAGATGGAGGCCTCAAACCTCGACTCTCCTGATCCCTACCCTCCAGAGTAGCTAGAATTACAGATATAAGCCACCATGCACGGCCTTAATTTGTAGATTTTGTAACAAAGTCAATATTCTTCATATTTTTGTTTAGTTTTATTTTTTGAGAATTATAATTAATAATGATAATTACTGTTACCTTTTCTTAAATCAGAGGAGGAGAAAATCCCTAGCTAAAAATGATACGGAGATCAAAAAGATAACAAAAATATAAGTGAAGGACACACAGCAGTTCTATTCACTAAACTTTGTAATTATTTATTACTGAAAATTTACATAATAGAAAAATTTAGTAGTATAAGAAAAATGGCTTTGACTTTTATCCATAATTTGCTTTTAAATAAAGATTTTATTTTATAATGTATGCAGCAGATAAGGGTGAATCTTTAATACCATTAGGCTGACTTATATAATGTAGCATTTAGAAATCTCTAGGTCTGGTGGTACTTCCTTCAGATGAGTGGATAATGCAATTCACACATTTACACACTTGTGAAGATAATTTCAGCTACTTTAGTAGTTAGAATAGTTCTCTATACATTTTAGGGAAAAAGATCAGACCTTTAAATGAAACACTGTTACCAAAAGAATCAAACACCAAGAATAAAGATGTGTTCTACACACAACAAAGGGCAGGAACATAAAACAGCTCATGTGTGTATGGAGAAGGGTAAGTCCAGAAGATAGAGGAGGGTGAATATGGGTGTGGCACTTTCAATACACATATTAGTATGGATCACTGAAACCTACTGAAGCCATTTTAAGAAGTGGAGTGGGAGAAAAGGCAGAGTAACAGGGGAACAACCAAACCCGAGAACAATATATGCATATATGGAAATACCACAATGAAACCCCTTGTGTAACTATCATATACTAATAATATTTTTTAAAAGTTAATAGTTTATTTTAAAAAAGAAGACGTTCTGAGAGTAACTAAAATTCTTACTTGAAAATTTAAATATAAAAAAGATTAGACTTCCAAGGAAAATCCTAAATGTGTGAATTGGTATTAAATGGCAAAGGCTTGAAGGTGATATGCAAATGCTGTGCTAAAGTAATGGAATTACAGATCTCTTTTATTTCCAAATTTTCTCAAATAGTGTCACAGCTTTTAAGACAAAAAGTTAAAGACAATAAAAGCAAATTAACTCCTATTGTAGCACATATAACACAGAAATATGAGATTCTATAAATATAGAATCCTCCTAGAATTCCAAAACTTACCCTAAACAAAGCAGCAATTATTTCCCCATCTTTAAATATGAAGTTATTTTACCAAGACAATTTTATGAGTTGAGGAAGACTAGAAGTATTTCCTCACCTTACACATGCCATAGTCAGTGAGTTTAATGTGCCCTTCAGAATCCAGTAACACATTGTCCAGTTTCAAATCTCGATAAATTATCCCTCGCTCATGAAGATAATTTAAGGCTAGACTAATTTCTGCAGAGTAAAACCTAAAATAAAATAAAAAACAAGTCACTGGATCCACAATTTTTAAACTGGTAATTTTTTGTTTTGTTTTGTTTTTGGAGGTACTGGAGTTTGAACTCAGGGCTTCACTGTTGCTATGCAGGTGCTCTTACCGCTTGAGCCACTCCACCAGTCCTAAACTGATAATTTTTTAAAGGAAGGTATGTAAATTTTATTCTCATCTGCAGATGGAAACGTAAAAATTATTTCAGTTTTCTCCTAATAATTTTTAAAACTACTATAAAAAACTAGACTACCACCTTAAAAAGATCTGAGCCCAAAATACAATTATAAAAGTTCTAGTCTAATATAAACTTGTATTTCTCATGAAATTATTAATTTGAAAATCTCAAAGAGGGGTTCTCATCTGGGGCCTTGCATGTACTTCTGGCAGTCCGTATGTCTACAACTATAGGAAAAAACTGTATGTACATGTACACTTTTCTTTTTTTTTTTTTTAAACAGTATCATTATATAGCCCAGGTTGGCCCTGAACTCATGATCATCCTGCCTCCACCTCACAAGAGGAATTACACATGTGAACCACTATGACCAGTTTACATGTATAATTTCTAGAAGAGAAGTCCTATAGCTTTCCTCATTTCTCTAAGAGACCAGTGACCCCTAAAAAACTAAGAACCAGTGATAAGTCTAAAAGAGAATATTAAGGTTAGTTCAAGAAGAATTAACTTAGAAGGTAACACACATGCACAGGAAATCAATGCAAGTCAACTCCCTGTATAGCTATCCTTATCTCAACTAGCAAAAACCCTTGGTACTTCCTACTATTGCTTATACTCTCTCTTCAACAAAATTAGAGATAAGGACAAAATAGTTTCTGCCTGGTAGTGAGGGGATGGGGAGGAGAGGGAGGGGGTGGGGGGGTGAGGGAGGGGGTGCAGAAAGGGGGTAGAAATGACCCAAACATTATATACACATATGAATAAAATAAAAATTTTAAAAAAAGAGAATATTAAGATTTGACTATTCAAACCATAAAATCCACACCAAGATTCTAGAAGAGGAATTAAAAAACACTATTCTACTACTATAAAATTTAATATTAAAGAATTAACTTTTAAAACCTGCCACCAATTCACTGGTGACAGTCAAAACTTCTGGTCTGAATAACAGAAGAGAAACACTCAAGCTTTGGCAGCATGATGTCATAATGGTGCTTGGAGGTTCATTACACACACCTTCTAACTACTTAATTCTAGAGTAGGAAGTTGAGCTCTTACTCTGTGCTTCAGTTCCTAGAAAAGCAAGGATGGTATAAAACCAGCACTGAGACTTTAATATAGTAAAAACCAGAGGTAGGTAGTTTTCCTCAGTTCAGCTGAACAAACAAGGAACAAATATAGGCTATGTACATAATTCAAAGTATCATCTGTGGCACTGCTATGAATGGTAACAATTTGATAAAGCCTAAATACACAATAAACAAAACAGTAAATTATAACAGTACATTATAACATTTGCAATTTATCATGTAAATTAACTTTTAGCTCAGCTCTACATGACTTATAAGTAACTAATTATCATCAAAATAAATTATTTATGTACTATTTTCAACTATTGCACATAAAAAGTCATGTAGGCCAGAAAAAAATCCAACACAATGAACAAAAAATATACCTGGCATGTTCTTCAGGAAGTTTTCTCTGTCGCTGCATATGAAACATGAGATCTCCCCCATTGACATACTCTATAACAAAGAACAATCTAAAACACAGGAGAAGATCCGTGAAATGAAAATTCAAAATGAGGTGGTGTAGCATTGTATTTTAAACATATAGAAACCCAGTTGCAATGCAGAGGGTATTCTTTGGTTCAGCCTTTAAAAGATGCCAAGAATCCAGTGGAAACAAAAGGCATCAAGAATATAAAAGACACAAGGTAAACCAGCATGATAACACTTCATAATCTACTCTTCCAAAGTAGTACCACCTGCAATCCAGAGCCACTCACTCCCATTCCATAGCTACATGGTAAGTCATTTTTGACTGTCACGGTAAAGAAGTTAGGATTTTCCCTCTTCTAGGAAATATTAATTCATAAAGTTAGAATCCTGGAGATATTCAAAAGGTGGGGTTTCCATTATCATGACCTGGGTTTTTTGTTATTTTTTTTTCCACCTGTAGCAAGTCATTTCCTATTACTGATCCAATATCAAATTGTTATCATTGATTGTAGAATGAAGAGTAGGAAGCTGTAAGCACAATATTGTTTGGTCCTTCTTTGTTACTTCCACTTCATGAATTATAGAAGACAGGTTCTTATTGTATAATATATCAAAATGTATGAAACTCAGTAGTCATTCCATTACTTTTTAATCTTACCTGCTTTCTGTTTGAAAGCAAGAATGCAGCCCAACAAGAAAAGGATGATTGGACGCCTGCTCAAAAACATGCTTCTCTGTCTGTACCCAATCAATATCCTATTTTAAAATATGAAAGAAATCTATGTCAAACTGAAAGGAAATTACTAAAATGAATAATTCTGTTCTTAATAATTCAATTATCACGAAAGGTGTTTTTAACTAATTAGGCTAAATATTAAAACCACCAAATCACAAAACTTTTTTATAATCACAAAACTTTATATAATACAAAAAGAAAACACTATTAGCAAATCTAGTATCATGAAATGATGTGGAAAATTTTTACAAAGCTCAAGTATTTTCCCTGCTAAGAATATGGTTTGATTTTTTTTCTTTTAAACATAATAATAAGATTACTTTAAATATCATACATGATTGAAGCATATTTTTAGCAAAGGAGAATGAAAAAGTAAAGCACAAATATTGAGGTTTCCTCTGAAATAGTACTTAAGCAGTTCAACATTTCTGACAGTTTTGTTCTGTGGTGTGTGGACTGAACCCAAGATCTTATACATGCTAAGAGTTTAACAGTGTACAAGTAGAAAAATATCACTGTGCTTACCTCATCATCATTAACAAGCTCTTTTTTCACAACTTTCATTGCATAAATACGATCTGTTTTTTTTAATCGAACCAACAGTACTTTGGCATAACTTCCTCTCCCTATTACCCGGAGCAAATCAAAATCCTGAAGCCCTAAACTGGATGAAGCTTTGCCACTTTCCCTGGTGTTCATTGCCTGTTGAGAGAATTTGTATCAAAAAGTTACATCTGGAAGTTTCTGCATAGCATCTATTTCTAACCTTGGTACACATATAATGTATTTTCTTTACACACAAATATTTTAAGTTCCAATTCTTTTCTTATATCATCCTAAACCATATAATCTGCAGGAAGCAGGATGAGCTCTTGAGCTGAGGTAAGAAGGGTGGTAATAGGAATTGACAGGGAATGGAAAATTGAGAAATGTTAAATGACGTCTTAAAAAGGACAGTAACTTCTAGGGATGGGAGCAGTGGAAACAAATGAATAAAAAAATGACACTTTCATGACAGAAAAGATGGAGGTACTGCTGATAGAGAAATAAAGTATGTGGAAAGGATACTGTTGTGGATAACAGTGTCCATATTGAATACAGCAGTTGCAACGAGACATCAAGATGAAAGAGTATATTAGAAACTTGTATTTCTTGTAATTAGAAACTTGTAATATGCAATTCAGAGGGTTCTGACACATTCATTAGGGAAGTTACAGGCAGGAAACAAGCACAGGCAATTCAGCTAAAGGAAGACATTCTTTTCCACACTTTGTACCAGATGGTATAGGATAGCAATGTAAGCCTCATAATTCATTCATGACTAGAAAGAAATGTAAACTTCTGTCAATTTATTGAGATGACTGAGCATAGTCTTTTATTAGATAACTGCAAAACATCACCAGCACATACTCAACGGATGTCCACATGAGAAGAACAAATGAATTCTCTGAAGTGAAGAATATCAAGAAAAGCAAAGTCAGGCACTGGTGGCTCACACCTGTAATCCTAGCTACTCTAGAGGATCACAGTTCAAAGCTAGTCCCAGCAAATAGTTCCAGAGACCCGATCATGAAAACACCCAACAGAAAGAACCGCTGGTGGAATGGCTCAAGTGGTAGAGCGCCTGCCTAGCAAGCATGAGGCCCTGAGTTCAAACCTCAGTACCACCAAAAAAAAAAAGAAAAGAAATACTTGTATGTGTATGAATCTTCAAGAGCAGCATATCATAAAAATCCCCAAATAAGAGGAAAATCACTAGGATAGATAAACTGAAATGACAGTGAAAATAAATGAAACACTGCTGTAAGAAATAAAGCTGAATCACACCATGTGAAGATTCTATGCTATATGCAAGAAGCCAGATCCAAAAAATACAGGTTATATAAGTCCATTCATTTGAAGAGAAAAATCTAATCTGCGGTGTTAAGACAATTCTTACTTTCAGGAGAAGTCTAGGAGAAGGCGCAACACAGTCCTCTAGGATGTTGGTAGGTTCTGTTTCTTTCCTTTTTTTGCTAACCATTTTTCCTTTTTCTTTAAAATAAGTGTATGTTAATTGTATAAAGGGGATTTATTGTGATATTTCCATACATGCACATAATGTACTTTGATCAAATTAACTCCCTCCATTACTCTTTGCACTTACCCTCCCCTCTTTAAAACAATTTTTAATGGGAAAAATACGGAACGCTTCATAAATTTGCATGTCATCCTTACACAGCAGCCATGCTAATTCTCTTCATATCATTCCAATTTTATTATATGTGGTGCTGAAGCAAGCATGGCAGATCCTATTTCTTGTTCCCAGTTATCATTACATAGTGTTCACTTTATGAAAATTAATCTAGCTACTCATGATCTGTGCACTCTTCTACATGTATTTCTACAATTTAAAAGATATTAGAGATCTTAAAGGCAGATGAGTTTTTGGTAAACAACCACACCAAAATAGTAGTAGTACTAGTAGCACTAGTTATGGCAGTGAGAATTTCTGTTAGAACAAAAAGCTACACAGGAGCATTACAACTAAATAAAATATTAGCAACTGATGGTGCCAGAAAAACAGAGGATTCATTCCTAAATACTAGGCATTTCCTCCTTTGTCTGACTCATTCAACCTATGAACAAAATGGGGATGATTATGTAACAACTGCAGGCTGGATTATAAATGTTAACCTTGGTGATGTAAAAATAAGTATGCAGCTAAAAGAAAAATTAGAAGAAAAGAGTAGGGGTTGATAAAGCAAGTCAAGATATTAACTAAGCTGGGCCTGGTGACACATGCCTATAATCCTAGCACTCAGGAGGCTGAGGCAGGAGGATTCAGAGTTTGAGGCCACCCTGAGCTACATAGCAAGTTCCAGGCCAGCCTGGGCTACATAGTAAGACCCTGTGTCAAATAAAATAAAATAAAATAAAAATAAATAAGTAAATAAATAAATAAAACAAAACCCAAAAGACATTGACTAAAATAAATAAGAAACTAAGTTATGAGATAGGTGACCAACACATTTACTTCCAAACACAATAAAAGTAAAGTAAGTGGATAGACAACAAGATTGGTTATGTGTTGACAATTAATTGGATACTACATCCGGGGACTTTGTTATACTACTCTGTCTACATTTCTACATTTGAAATTGTCTGTAATAGAAAGCTGGATTTTTCAAATGATAATTGAGAAAAGAGCAAAACATAATACACCAATCAAACACTGGAAAGAGAAAGGAAAAGGGGGAGGGTATGTGAATTAAATCTTTCATGGCCAGAAGTATATAAAGTTAAAAAATGGAAAAACAGAGCTCTAAACATTACTGACATAACTAGAAATGGCTGAAGAGAGTTGTCTTCAAGAAACCAAATTGGGAGTAGAAGTGAGTGCCAACAATCATTTCACTACAAGTTTTATATTATAATTTATTATGCTACCTTAAAAGGAAATTATTTCCTAATTTATATTAATGACTAAATTACTAAATTGAATCATTCAAAATCACTGCTGTCCTTCACCATTAGGATTTAAAATCTAAGCAGGCCAATGTGTCACCTTTCTAAATGGTCACTCACTGTCTTACTAAAAAATGGAAGACAGATTATCTTACCTCCTTTTCTTCACCAACTTGGTCCAAACTCTCATGACTGGAAGGGTTATATGGAATGACTAAAGGATTCAATCCCAAACATTTGGAGGAAAAAAAAGGGTGGGGGGGAGAAAACCAGCATCTATTAATGAGTTTGACATACTAATTTTTCTTTTGATTTTTGTTTTTAGTTTTTACTTTTGAGTAACTTTTTGTTATTTAAAACTGAATACTTGTCCTGCTAATAACAAATTATACATAAATTTGAGTCAAATCCTAATCTTTAGTGAGAGTAAAGAGAACAAGCACCAACACGGTAGTCAAGTACTATTTTTTTCTAACATTTCTCTTCTTTACAAATTAATCAAACAATTTTTCTATAAGGTTGACTGTACAAACTCCATTTAAATATTTTAGTTTGACTGAGGTTTTCATACTCAAAATGTTTCTGATTACTACACTGACAAAGAACTGCCAAGAATAAGGCTTCCATTCCTTAAAGCTACTTGGGGCAAAAAAGGGCCTACATTCATTCCATAGCTTCTTCTATCACCAAGATACTATATTTTATCCTTCCAGAATCCAGATACAATCAAGAGCTGAATCAAGAAATTTACTCTCCAAATTTCCCAGATACACACTTAAGGCTTTGTTCCTATATCATATTGTAACTCACACCATATTTCTAGAATTTCTTATACTCCTTTTCTGTATCTTTTACATAATTTCTACTTCTGATACTAAGGCTTTGAATAAAACCAGATCACTTGCTGGGTGTTGGTGGCTCATGCCTATAACCCTAGCTACTTGGGGGTTAGAGATCAGGAATATTTTGGTTTGAGGTCAGTCCAGGAAAACAGGAGACCCTATCTAGAAAATACTAGACACAGGGCTGGCCAAGTGGCTCAAGCAGTAAGAACATCTGCCTAGCAAACTTGAGGCCTTGAGTTCAAACTCCAGTGCCATCAAAAAAAAAAAAGAAAGAAAGAAAACATCCAACACAAAAGGGCTGGCAGAGTGGCTCAAATGACAGAGCACTTGGCTAGCAAGTGTGATGCCCCGAGTTCAAACTGAAATACTACTACTACTAATAAAAAAAAACCTCCACAGGCCAAAAATTCAGCTTTAAATTTTCTCATTGTGGAAAAGAAACTAGGTTTACTAAATTAAAATTTAGAAACATCTCAAAAGAAATTTGTCAGAACTAAAAAAAAAAAAAAAAGTCGTTTGTTATAGTTTACATGTTGTCATCTTAAAATGCCAATGTCTCTATGTTAAATACTATGACTAATTCTTTTACCACGAGCTATGCTTCCCTACATTTATTAGGGAAGAATATGCTTTCGAGCTTGGGTAAAAGTCTCAAAGATGTCTGTAAAGGTTACTTTGTTAATGAGTAGTGATGCATGCCAGCCTCATTCTTACCTGTCTGTGCATTGTCTGAATGCATAGATGACTGCTCCATTGACATCATTGGTTCCTAAAAAGATTTCCAAAGACAGAGTAACTTAGTGGATTCTTCTAAAATCCTAACACCTCTATAAATCCAGAAACAACAGTATTTCAATGAGACATAGCATGTTAAAATTTAAATCTGAAAGAATATAAGGTGAGAGTTATAGTATTATATTTAATTTTATTTTATGAAGCCATACAATATTCCTGTGAATGGGGTAATGGTCATATTTTACAGAAAAAAAGACACATAAAACTAACTTCAGACCATCCATTAGAAATCAAATTAAGCTACTACATACTAGACTTATTTCTCTTCTGTATTACCCAAACTCCCTTTAAGCTCCATTTTAAGTCTTTGGCAAAGTCTCTAGAATATGAGTTCTTTGCTGAAATAGATACAGAGATAGGCCTTGAGATATTTATAAACCCCCTAAAATTATATGTAATACTTTGTATGTTTCCCATTTTTTTCTCAGCATTCTCAAAAAGTGTCAGTGGGTCAAAAAGGAAAAGAAACACCCTCCAGAAACTGACTTAACCAGGCACTTGCCAACAATATCAAGAAAAATGCTTAGTCAAACCAAAACTGTTATTAATTCATTAGCCTTAAATCCAATGTTGATGAATACCATCAGGAAAAAGTAAACTTGAGAAAGAACAATACCATACACACTTTTAATTTTAAGACTGCATTAGTGATAGGCATGCATTTAACCCCCATCCTAAAGTATCAGTATAATCACTAACTCTCCATCCTCTTTCCCTCTAACTATGTAAACACAGAAGTCATTCTATCACCTAAGAACACTCAAGAATATCAACAGTAATTGGGATAAATTACGTTTGTAATTTTTAGGTTCCTATTTTTTCTCAAGATTATTTTCCCCTTTCACTATGAACCCATTCCTAAACTGATATGAACAAGATAAATGAGTCTAATACCAAAGAGCCACCAGTAATAACCTGTTTTCACAAATGTTCAAAGGTCCTTTGAAGAGAGAGAGAAAAATATGGTATGATCATTTGAGAAAACAATTTAGAAAGATGCATCCTTATCTTTTTAAAAATGTACATTTTTTAATCTAATAATTCCACTCCTGGATCCCTAAGGAAATAAGATTTGTTTATCAGGAAGTTATGATTTTCTCTATAAGAAAACAACTCGAATGTTCAATGACAGGGAACAGGTTAAATAAAACTATAGTAGAGACATGTAACAAGCCATTATGTTAAAATAATAAGACAGATATAAAAAGGTGACCAAAATAATTCAAGTGAGAAAAATGGGTTAGAAAAGGAAGCACATAAATGACCTCACTTTTACTAAAATGTATGTAAACAAAAGAGACACACTCAAACACATGTGCCTGGTACATAAACACCTTTACAAAGTGGTCTCAAACACAACCCACAAAAAAAGCAAAAAACCAGAATCTAACCACATTTTTATATCTAATTATGATATAAAGGAAATAAAAAGAATAACATCTTGAGCATAACCATGGTGAAATAATGAACATAATTTTACAGTACTTTAATATCTGAGGAAGTGAATCAATGCAATTTGAATCCTGATTTATAATGAAAACACAAGACAAAATTACAATATTTATGGAATAGCTGAAATTTTGAACACTGCTTGGATGGGTATTTGGCAAGAAATTTGTTTTTTAGTAATTTCTTAAAAGAGTCTTTATCTTTTAGAGGTATATTCTGAAACATGCTTCAAAGTAATATCACAGGAGGGGGGTTAACTGGGTGAGGTTATAATGAAAACAAGATTGGTCATGGGTTGAAACGATTGGAATGAGGTGATTGGTACTTGGGGGTTCATTACATTGTCCTACTCACTGTCATGTATGTTTACATTTTTTATATGTAAAACCTAAAAATGCCCACAAATATGAACATATATAGGCAACTTCTGGAAGGATGTACACCAAATGACAATTACCTATAGATGGTAGGGTTTATGAGGAATTTTACTTAATTTTTTTCTTTATTCATCTGTGTTCTCTTTTTTCTATGATGTTTTAATTACATACTTAAAATAGAAAGTAAATGTGAAAATTTAAAATGCTTCTCTTTCCAGTAATCTTACACTTTAAATAGCAAACGTGATGCTTCTGACTCTACCTGAGCTTTGTTTCAGACAGATGCAAACATGAGAGCTATAAACTCATGAGTTTAGTTTAAGGAAGAGAAAACTTTCTTAAATGGTTCTCCCTATGGCTTCATAATTTAGATCAGAGGATTTATAGCATGTCAAATAAGTTTACCGTATCTTATAAACTAATACTATCATGTTTATTTCAAAAGTTCCAAAGCTCACAGTATGTTAAGTGGAATAAAATATTCCTACCCACACTCAACAATTTTTTGGCACACAATTCCTTAACACTTCCCTATTTTAACAGTGTTATCTATATCTATCTATCTATCTACCTATCTATTTTTAAATCTATGTCTTACCGGTGGCAAAGAATGCCGTCCACATTCAATTGTGACGAGTTTGTGACACTTCTTATGAACCAAGAGTTTGCAGTTGATGCACTTATATCCCTGACGTCCAAGTCCCCATATTCGGTCTGTGCAGATGGCACAGTGAGCACGCTAGAAAGAGTAATTCAAGAGTATTTTATTAACAAAAAACCCAGTAATTGTAGAATGGGAATGAAGGCCATAAACATATACTTATCAAGAGAAGTTAAAAAAAATGAGCTTCTGGAGCTAGACAGCCTGCTTTCTAATCACGGCTCTACTACTCACTAGCTGAGTCATCTCAGGCAAGTTTCTTAACTGTCCTGTACTTCACTCATCTCTAAAGTGGAAACATTGTCTATCTATTTCACAGGGTTGAGATGATTAAGTGAGTCAATATAGGAAGAGCATTTGGAAAACTGGTACATAGTAAAAGTGAGATACGTGTTTGCTATTATTGTTTTCTAAACAGTGAACATTTAAACTCACATTAAATGATTTGCAAAATAAACCATGCTAATTTTTTTCCTGCCTGGAATTATGTTTAAATATTCAATTTAAATGTCCAGTCTACCATAGCTGGGGCAACCCTATAACTAACCATCCAATCTGGAGCATTTTTCAAAGTGAAAGAGGCTGGGAGTGTAGCTCAGTAGTGGGGGAGGGGGGCGGGGGGTTAAAGGAGATGCTATTAAAAATAAAGGCTTACTTTTAAAAATGAATGGTAACATTTAATACAAAACCACTTTTCTCCCATAGCAAAAAGGAAAAATAAAAAAAGATGTCTCAAATTATCAGCATTCAACAAACTAAGTTTACCCTGTTGAAACGTTTGGCTTGAAAAGTGTGGCCATTTGCACAATAAAGCTTTCTCCAGCGGCGTGCACCTCTGCGGTAGATGGATTCTGAAGAGTTTAAAAGTTAAAAACAAGGAAAAAAGAGCAAGTGTAAGTGAAAGCCATTCTTATTTTTTTTTTATGATATTTACTGAGGGAAAAAAATACTGATTAAAAACTATAAATTGAAAAAGTAAAATAGGTTCTTCAAAGGACTAGATAAAAATAAAGATCAGGGAATATTTATTTGAATAACTATTATTGCTTTTCTCTTTGAAAAGTTTTCCGCCAACTTTTTAATTTTTGTTGCCAGTACTAGCATTTGAACTCAGTGTCTTTTACTTGCTAAGTGCTCTACCACAACTTGAGCCACACCTTCTGCTGAAAAAATTCCAAGCCCACAGAAAAGTCGAATGAATAAACACATGCATCTTTCAACTAGCATTACTATTAATGTTTTGCTATGTTTGCTTTCCTCTCTACAAAAACATACATTTACTTTTCCAGAATCATTTGGAAGTAAAATGCAGACATCATGAAGCTTAAATGCCCTTGGGTATTTACCCAAGTACTCAAAGCTTCAGACTAAGGGCATTCTCCCCTGTTATACATAACCACAATACCATTACTAAGTCTTAGAGAATTAGTATTAATTTAATATTACCCTTTATACAGTTCACGAAGAAATTTACCTAATTGCTGCTAAAGTGTCTTTCAAAGCGGTCCTTTTCTTTTTCTTCCTCTTCTTTTTTTTTTTGGTGGCACTAGAGTTTGAATTCAGGGTGCCTTTCTCTTGCTAGGCAAGTGTTCTTATCCACTACACCAGCTTGTTTTTTGTGAGTGTTTGCTTTGAGATATGGTCTTGGGATCTCTGCCTCCTGAGTAACTATGAGTACAGGCGTTAGCCACCAGGCGCCCATCTAAAATGGCCTTTTCTACCAATCAAGATTCAGTCATGGCATTTCTTGTTTTTGGTTTTGCTTTGTTTTGGGGTTGTTTTCTGTCTCTTTAGAGTACTGTAAAACATTCACTCTTGCCTTATTTGTTGCTGATGTTTTTCATAATGTTTACTTTTTTTTTTCCTTTCTTTTGATTAGCATATTATAGTTGCATTGTAACATTTAAGTAAGTGCTTACAACATCTTTTTGGGTTTTTTTTTTTTTTGTGGCACTGGGGCTTGAACTCAGGGCATCATGCTTGCTAGGCAGGCTCTCTACTACTTGAGCCATTCTGCCAGACCTACAACATATCTTAATTAGATTCATCTCCTCCATCTTTCTCCTTTATCCCACTCCCCCCAGGACAATTTCAATAGGTTTCATTGTTCTATTTTCATAAATGAACACAAAATACTTCCACCACATTCTCACTCCTTCACCCTTTCCATATGCCTTCCTCCTCCTACTGGTACCCCTAGACAGGACTTGTTTTAACTTCCTGTCCTTCATTTTGTAAAAAAAGAACAATTTATTAAACTTATATTATTTATAAGTTTATATTATTATATAAACTTATATTATTTATAACATTATTTATAATATTTATAATATATTTAATAAAGTTTATTTATATTATTTTTCAAAGTCCTAGGCAATTGTATTATGTTCCACATTCTGAATTTATCTGTTTCTTCATAGTTAAAGTCACATTAAAGGTTTTTGGCAAAAATAACCAACAATGTAGTTTATTTCCTAAAGCATTATGTCAAGTGGCACACAAATCAGAATGCCAACTCCCACTACTGGTATTCAAAGATTTCTTCCTTATAAAAGTACATTTTATTTTTTGTAATATGTAAGTGGTATTTTGTAACCAGAAGAGTATCTTCTTCCCCAACAACCTTTTATCCAATTTTTATATTAATGCTTTTCTTAAACATAGTTAAGAGGTTCCAAAATATCAAATCCAGTCCACTTTAAAATTTTGGTTGTCCATTACTATTGTATCTATTGTCTATTAGGTTTCTAAACCCTCTTTGTGTGTGTGTGTGTGTGTGTGTGTGTGTGTGAGAGAGAGAGAGAGAGAGAGAGAGAGATACTGGGGCTTGAACTTAGGGCCTTCACCTGGAGCCACTCCACTAGTCCCATTTTTGTGAGGGGTTTTTCAAGATAGGATTTCATGAACTATTTGCCCAGTCTGGCTTCGAACCACGATCCTCCTAATCTCTGCCTCCTAAATAGCTAGGATTACAGGCATGAGCCACTGGCACCTGGCCTAAACTCTTATTTTAAAAAGCAAATGTAGCACTGAGTTTACTATTTCCAATTAAAATAGAAAAAAACAGTTGCAATGCTTTGAATTAGAAATCTTGACATAGCATAATACATAACCTTAAATATAGATGCTTTTGCTTTTAATTATATATTGCTAACAATAGCCAAAGCAGAAAGTTTCGGTTAATAACTGTAAGAACTTCCTAGAGCTGGGCAAGATGGCAAATACCTGTAATCCCAGCACTTGGGAGGCTGAGGCAGAAGGATTACAAGTCTGATGCCAGCCTGGGCTAACAGTAAAATGTTATCTCAAAAAAAAAAAAGAATATCCTCTTTCAGAAATGTTTTGAATTACCTTGATATACCTTAAGTTTAAACATTTTAATATTGCCTGAGAATTAAAAGGACCAAAAGATCATGCTAATGATTAGCAAATTTCCTCAATGCTCTAGTTTAATAGTATTTGTTTTTGCTAGAGAAGAGGGAATGTCAAAATCTCTGTAAGTAAACTTAAAAAGGGCATGTGAGCATAAAGTATAATGAAAAGTTTATAAATTACATCTAGGAAGTAGGTTACAGACCTATAGTAGATTTGTTGGAGATGGGACTCTGGAAACAAGATATGCTACAATGGCATATCTTTTTAAAATTATGGCCAGTCTTTTAAAATTATGGCTCTGGACAGAGAAGATACCTATTTTCACATTCTGTGAAGGTAGCCTACATGGTTTTAACCATCTGTCACTGGATGTTCAACAAAATACCACTAGCTGACTCAAAACATGGTTTTTCAGTACTGCTTCAGTGTTCTGCCTACTCCTTGCATTTCCCTATAAGGTATAAGCTATATCACAACTATTTAACCCTAATTCCCTTTTCACCAAAGAGCATGAAAGAGTTACAGAATTATAACTTTAGACCTTGAAACTCCATTTAATTCAAAGCAACTATTCACTACTACTAAAGTCATGGATATGTGTACAATTCAAAAATAAAAATGAGTTACCTATTGGCCACAATTAATGAATTAAGCTATATATTAAAAAGTAACTTACAGTCAAACATAAGTTTGTATATTTCAATTATATAAAGACAAATAGTAGTTTGACTCTTGCAGTTCATCTCATCATCTGGCTGAAGGTGTTGCTCATTATGCACAGCGCTTACCTAGCATGAGCAAGGCCTGGGGTCAAAGCCCCAGCACCATACGAATAAAAAACAAATGAAAGGACTGGAGGTGTCGCTCAAGGGGTAGAGCACCTACTTTGCAAGTGCAAAGCCCTGAATTCAAACCCAAGTCCAACTACAAACAACAACAACAAAAAATAATAACCACCAGCTTCAACAATCAAAAGAAATCCCCATAATGATTTTTAAGGATGCATGCTGAATTATTTAGAAGAAAAGTACCATGTTCCTAGAAGTGGTGAGGTGGCCCAAACAATGTATACACATGTGAGTAAATGTAAAAACGATAAAATAAAAAAAAATTTTAAAGTGACATGTCAATTACTTTCTCTCAAATGGTGCGATAAAAAATAAATATAAAACAAGAGGAGGTTGTCATATAACTATGTACCTCTTATATATACACAGATACAGGAAAATGTTAAGAACTGGAAAATGTGGATAAAGGATATATGGGTATCCTTGTTTTCAATGTAGTTTCCATAAATTTGAAAATTTCTAGAATTAAAAAACATCAAGTCACATGACTTAAAATTGTAAGTGAGTTGTAGCAATTTGAAATTCATCTAGCAAAAACAGTTTATGCAGTTGCTAATATATTCTAAATCAGACTGGAGCAAAGGAAAAGAAATCAAATGAACTAAAAGCTGTATTTCTGGTAGGTGTCATAGCCTAACTCTTTTCAAGGGTACAGAGTATATAAACACTCACTATCTTCCCCTGGGCAAGGCATTCCAGGACGTTCTGGTACGCAAGGGAATACTGAAAGAAAATAAACTAAAATTAATATCATATTTAAAACATACAAATTATACACAATTCAAATGGACCTTCTCTTCACTTGAGAAAAGATACTTGGCATGTCAATACTGCTTGAAAGATCCATTTACCAAGCTATGTAAACAGAGGTTTTATGAAAACAAACATGTCTATAACAATGCATTAGAAGCTCAAATTACTAATTCCAGACCTTTGTTACTAATCACTATTTTCTGTGTCCTTAAAGAAATGATTAACTATTTCCTTAAATCCTTGTTATAGTGACCATGTTGCTATAAATTTATAAACACAGCAAATCAAACCATTTTTACACTGAGGTAGAATAAAAAGCAACAGTTCATTTATGAACATCTAGTTAACTATAGACTGTGGTGTACTAAAGAACATAGTTTAATAAAAGCAGAGTATAGGAAACATAGTTTCTCACATATTTTTAAAAGCTGAAATATAAATATAAATAAAATAATAAAATAAATATATTTTATTTAATATAAATATATTTTTAATTTATAAAAACAGATAGATATGGTATAAAAAACAAAATTTAAAACTGGTTATTTAGTAATATTGATCAATCTTCTTTTTTTTTTGGTGGGGGGGGGGGAAGTTGCTAAAGATTCAAACCAACGTCTTGTGCATGCTAAGCAGGCACTCTGCTGTTTATATCCCCAGCTCTTGATTTTTTGAGACAGGGTCTTGCTATGTAGCCCAGGCTGGCCTGGAACTCCTAATCTTCCTGCCTCTACCTCCTGACTGCTGGGATTATATATATATACATATATATATATATATATATGTCACCATGCCTGGCTCAATCACTTTTTAAAGCATTTGTTATGAATTTATACTACAAAAAGATGAAAAAAATAGATGACTTCTAAAGCTGTACTAGGATCTCAACAAACCATCTTAAACTTGCTGTGATGGGTGTGGGCGCAGTTCAAGTGGTAGAGCGCCTGCCTACCAAGCACAAAGCCCTGTGTTCAAACCCCAAGATAGAAAAAAAAAAAACTTGCTATGAAGCAATAAGATTACATTTTAATATCTGAGAAGGCATACACAGATAACAAATTTCCCAAGACTGTAAGAAGCAGAATGATTTGCCTTCTATAGCATTTGAAAAACTACTGAAAGACAATTACACAGGATCAGACACAGAGACTGAGAAAATGACATCGAGATTCTGTTTTAAAAATAGTCAACAATATTGGTTATTTAAAAATATTATAGCTCCAGAACAGTATGAAATGATTACTCTTTACCATGAATCAAGAGCTCAGAATCCTTGTTTAGCTCATAAAGCCGAAAGGCTTCTTCTAACTCCAACTGAGATGATACTGTACATGGGTCTCCTAAAAAATACAAGAAAGTAAAGCTCAATTTTTAAAACCTCTAAATGTGATGGTCAGTAAGCAACTTCCATCATACAGTATTTTGGGGGAACAATTGACACGGACACATCTTTAGATATTTATTTAGACAGTTCTACTTTTAGGAAGGTAACATAACCTCCATTTGTATTTATACAAAAATATCACACAAGATTCAGACACTCAATTTTATACATATAAAACCATTTTGTTTTTTTTTTTTTTTTTTTTTTTGGCAATACTAAGATTTAAACTCAGAGTCCTGTACTTGCTAGGCAGGCACTCTACCACTCGAGTCATGCCTCCAGCATGTTCTTAAATTATGTACATATTCAAAATACAGCAAACAAAATCTACTCTTGAGCACATTTTAAACTCTCGTTACTCTCTGACTAATGGATATGGTCAAGAACAAGCTTTCTGTTACCTGTATCTTCAAAAGAGGAAGTGAAAGCAGTTCTATTGCCACACCGTGGTTGGTTAGAAATCTCTACATAATCGTTTTGTCAATTTTTTCCTTTCAGATGAGAGCCTGCTCACAGGAGTCACCGGAGAGAAACCTCCACTAAAGTACTATAAACTGAAGAAGAGTCTAGTTATAGCTGCTTTTAAGTGAAAATGCTGAGTTCTAGTAAACATACACACAGAGAAAGGAAGGAGGAAACATTTCCCTTAGTCAGCCAGCCAAAGAACTGAGTCATCTCTGGCAACAGAGGTGGCATATCTCCCTGGACAATGACATTCCTCAATGAACGAGTCATTTTGAGCAAAGTTGGGACCTGAGCTGGGTCCCCAGCTCTGCCGTTCTTTTGCTGATTCCTATGGTTACACTAAACATCACTACATAATAGATGCTACAGACCCTGTGCAAGCCTCAATCATACTCTGTAGGAAACCAGCTTACTACTTGAAAGAGGAAAATGAAGTCATTCAATTTCAAGCTGTCTCAAACAACAGAGTGCTTTATTCTTTTCTTCAACTTGGTTGTGGAATCGTGGCTGCAGAATCTCTATCTTCTTTACCCTTGCATGGCATTGTTTCATTGGTCTTCCTCAGTTTCATTCCCCATTTCTTTCCTACCATCAGCTTCCCTTAGAGAAAGGTATGTTTGAGCCTACCTCTTAAAAAAATCTCCTTCCTACTCAGGTTATGACTCCACTCATTCAGTAGCTACGTTTTCTTTTGGTGGTACTAGGAGGGGAACTCAGGGCCTTGCAATTGCTAGACAAGCGCTCTACCACTTGAGCCATCCTCCCAGCTCTTTTTTGTGTTGGTTATTTTGGAGATAGGGTCTCACTTTATGCCTGGGCTGGCTTGGATCACCATCTTTCCATTTATGCTTTCAACGTAGCTGGTATGACAGGAACATATCACTATGCCTAGTTTTTTATTGGTTGAGATGGCGTCTTGCTAACTTTTTGTCTGGCTGGCCTGGGTCCACAATCCTCCTGATCTCCCCCTCCAGAATAGATAGGATTACAGGCTTAGGCCACCAAGCCTGACCTTGTACCCACACTTCTTAAGAATAAACTGCATATTGAAACTGGTGGGGAGAGGTAGAAGAAGAAAGTGAAGGAAAAGGGGTAGATCTTTGATTTCTTCACTTTATTCCTTTGGTGTCTTTTTTTTCTTTGGTGGTACTGGGGATAGAAACTCAGGGCCTCACACTTGCTAAGAAGGTACTATACCACCTGAGTCATACCCCAACCTTTTTTCTGTTTACATTAGTTACTTTTCAGATAGGGTTGATGGGTCTCCCACATAGCTGGAGTTATAGACATGCACCTGTAATTTACATTTCTGGCCCCTTTGGTATTTTTAAAATCATAAATTCAAAATCTTTTCCAATGAAATAAATTGCCTTAACTTTTTCCATGTTATCGTCCATCCCAAAATTCTGCTACCAAATACTCCACTAAAATTGCTATCGCAAAAGTCAGGAAAACAGTTGCCAAAATCTGTCTCTTTTTTTGTTTGTTTTTATTTTCATTGACCTCTCTATAGCCGCTAACAAAAGTTGCTCACTGACCATTAATGGAAACTCAGTGTCAAGGTTTCTAAAGTATCACTGTCCTGGTTTATCACCTCTTCTTTTTCCTTTTCTTTTAAGAGGCAGGGTGTTGCTATGTAGCACAGGCACCTGGTCTCAAGCCTGTGCTCCTGAGTGCTGGGGTTACAGACATGTTCTACCACATCTGGCTCTTTAAATTTCTATTTTAGAAAATTTTGAACACACTACAAAATCTTAGTTCCCCTGTATATCCACCTACGTGTTCTCCATTACTGTATGATTTGGAGTAAAACCTTGTAATTCTACATAAAAATCCCTTAATAAACTCACAACACATTACTTTATAAAAATTAACAATAAGCACTTCGCCCTCCAGCCGCGGCAGCTGCAGCCCGACCCTGAGCGAGCCAAGAGGCGGCGGCGGCGGCGCACTCAGGAGACCACCAGATCACCTCTTCCCGCGGCCTCGCCATGGCGACCTACGGACAGAGCTGCGCGCGGCCAATGTGTATCCCTCCATCATATGCTGACCTTGGCAAAGCTGCCAGAGATGTTTTCAACAAAGGATTTGGCTTTGGGTTGGTGAAATTGGATGTGAAAACAAAGTCATGCAGTGGTGTGGAATTCTCAACATCTGGTTCATCTAATACAGACACTGGTAAAGTTACCGGGACCTTGGAGACCAAATACAAATGGTGTGAGTATGGTCTGACTTTCACAGAAAAATGGAACACTGATAATACTCTGGGAACAGAAATTGCAATTGAAGACCAGATTTGTCAAGGTTTGAAACTTACATTTGATACTACCTTCTCACCAAATACAGGAAAGAAAAGTGGTAAAATCAAGTCCTCTTACAAGAGGGAGTGTATAAACCTTGGTTGTGATGTTGACTTTGATTTTGCTGGGCCTGCAATCCATGGTTCAGCTGTCTTTGGTTATGAGGGCTGGCTTGCTGGGTACCAGATGACCTTTGACAGTGCCAAATCAAAGCTGACAAGGAATAACTTCGCAGTGGGCTACAGGACTGGAGACTTCCAGCTACATACTAATGTCAATGATGGAACAGAATTTGGAGGATCAATTTATCAGAAAGTATGTGAAGATCTTGATACTTCAGTAAATCTTGCTTGGACATCAGGTACCAACTGTACTCGTTTTGGCATTGCAGCTAAATATCAGTTGGATCCCACTGCTTCCATTTCTGCAAAAGTTAATAACTCTAGTTTAATTGGAGTGGGCTACACTCAGACTCTGAGGCCTGGTGTGAAGCTTACACTGTCTGCTCTGGTAGATGGGAAGAGCATTAATGCTGGAGGCCACAAACTTGGGCTTGCCCTGGAATTGGAGGCTTAATCCAGCCGAAAGAAACCTCTGGAAATGGATATCAGAAGATTTGGCCTTAATATATTTCCATTGTGACCAGCAGGCTTTTTTTCTCCCCTAAGAAGGTGATCAAAACAAAGGATAATCTAAACAAGAGCTGTATTTTAAATATTTAGACAGTTACTTGTTAGCTGGTTTCTAGTTGAATTGGTTATCTAGTTACCAATGCTGCGGTCGTGCAGTCACCCATACATTATTTAAATGTATTTAACTGTTAAATGCGCTACCCACCAATAATGAAATAGACCTTTATGAAAACTGTGCGATGTGTGCATGTTTGTTTTTATGCTCCAAAACATTGACTATTGCCATTAAGTGAGATAGATCAGTGGATGTTTTAAGGTGAGGCTGAAGATTTTTTTGTTAAATTTAACCATCATTAGAGTTACTTTGGTATTCCAGAACATTACAAATTATGAATAAAACAAGTGTACATAAAAAAAAAATAAAAAAATAAAAATTAACAATAATTCTCTACAACGTCCAGACATATTCAAATGTAAAAGAGTGAAACTGAACCTTTATCTTACACTATTAACAAAAACTCATTAAAATGGACCAAAAACCTAGATGTAGTAACTAAAACTATAAGATTTTACAAGAAAACACACAGGGAAAGCTTCAAGACATTGGACGTGGCAATGATTTGTTGGACATAATGTCAAAAATAAGTTGGATCAAAATTAAATTTTTTTTGTGCATCAAAAGATGCTATCAAGAGTGAAAAAAACCCACAGAATGGGAGAAAATATTTGCAAAATGTGTATCCAGTAAAAGATTAGTATCTAGGATGTGTAAAGAACTCTTATTCCCCCCAAATCTAACCAAAAATTTTAAAAATAAGCAAAGGATGTTTCTCCAAAGAAGATATACACATGTTCTTATACAAATAAAATCCTTAACAAAATAAAAATGAAAACCACAAGTTAACACTTCCCACTCACTGCAATGGCTATTATCAAAAAACTCAGAAATAGAAGTATTAGTGAAGATGTGGAGAAACTAGAACCCTGTGCACTGGTGGTGACAATGTAAAATAGCACAACTACTGTGGAAAACAGCAGTTTGTCAAAAAATTAAATACAGAATTACCAAACAATCCAGCAACCCCATTCTAGGTATATACCTAAACAACTAAAAGCAGAGACTTGAACAGGTATCTGTACAGTAGTCCTCCTTATTCATGGGGGATATGTTTCAAGACCCCCAGTGGATGTCTGAAACCCAGACAGTACTAAATCCTCTATACTTTGTTTTTTCTTATACACACACACACACATAAACTTAATGCCCTTTCCATTTTAACTAAGCACTTACTATACTCTGTGGCTATAACTCCTGCAGTTTAATGTACAACAGCAAAACCAGATTCAATTTCTTTTTCCTTTTACACAATTTTATGGATAGAATATTCATTCTTACCATAAGTCTTAGCAACCTCAGTATGACTTTTTTCTTATTATGTTAAGAACTTCCACATTTTTTACCTAAAGGAAGAACTTTAAAGCTATTCTTGGGCATACCTGAATTACCAGCATCACTACTCTTGAGCTTTAAATCTACTGTAAGTAAAACAAGAGTTACTGAACACAAGCACTGAGAAACCACAATAGTTGATCTGATCACTGAGATAGCTACTAAGTAACTAATGGTGGGTAGTGTACACAGTGTGACATGCTAGACAAAGGGATGATTCACATCCAGGAGAGCAGAGAGATTTCATCATGCTACTCAGAACAGTGCACAATTTAAAACTTAAGAATTGTTTCCTTCAGGAATTTCCCATTATTTTTGGACTGTGACTGACCACAGTTTAACTGAAGCCATGGAAAGGAAAACCAAAGATAAAGGAAGACTACTGTGCCCTCATGATCACAGCATGCCACTCTCAACAGCCAAGAGGTGGAAGCAACCGAAGTGCCATCGACAAAGGGATAAACACATGTGGGCTATATGTAGGAGGGAATATTATTCAATCTTAAAAATAGAGGGAATTCTGACACATGCTACATGAATGATCTCTGAGGAGATTACACTACTCACAAAAGGACAAATAACATATGATTTCACTTATGAGGTGCCCAGAGTAGTCACATTCATAAAGGCAAAAAGCAGAATGGTGGTTATCAGGGATTGGAAGGAAGGGGTAATGGGAGCTAGTGTTTGATGGGTACAGAGTTGCAGTTTGGGAAGACGAAAATGTTCTGA